GGGAGCCTAGCTCCAGCCCCAGGGCCCAGGGAGGGCTGGGCATCCCTGGAGGGACTCTCATTTGCATGGCAGCCCCTCCCCTGGCAGAGGGGTGGGGAGAAAAGGAGGCCTGGGCAGCCCAGCCCCACTGTGGGCTCAGGGCTGTGAGCACCATGGCCTGGACTCCTCTGCTCCTCGCGCTCCTCTCTCACTGCACAGGTAGGGACAGGCCTGGGACCCGGCTTCTTCCCTTCCTGCTCAGGCTCCTGGGAAACGTCCCCTGGTCCCTGCCCGTCACTGACAAGTGTCTGTGTCTGCAGGGTCCCTCTCCCAGCCTGTGCTGACTCAGCCGCCCTCCCTCTCTGCATCTCCGGGAGCCACAGCCACACTCACCTGCACCCTGAGCAGTGGCTACAATATTGGCGGCTACCATATACGCTGGTTCCAGCAGAAACCTGGGAGCCCGCCCAGATTTCTCCTCAGATATAAGTCGGACTCAGATAAGTACCACGTTTCTGGGGTCCCCAAACGCTTCTCTGGATCCAAAGACACGTCGGCCAACGTGGGGTTTCTGCTCATCTCGGGGTTGCAGCCTGAGGACGAGGCTGACTATCACTGCAGCTACAACTCAAGGCAGTGGGAGCAGCTTTAGTCACGCACAGTGTCTCAGATGGCGAGGAAGTGAGACAAAAACCCCGGGCCCCGAGGTGCTGCCTCTGAGCCTCCCTTCACCGAGGAGCGTCTGTGGGGCCTCTGTCATTGGCTCCTCTGTAGGGATCCGTTTCCCCGGGAGGAGGGAGGTCACACTCGATGTGGCAGCAGCACAGGCGTCCCAGGGGCACACGCGGTGGTCATGGAGCCCAGCCCGCCCCCCGTGTCGGGGGAAATTCTAACAAGAAGGACCATTTCTGAGTCAGAATCTCAGCTCCTTCCTCCTGTTGTGTCTTGTCTGCTCCTCACCCAGAGCGCCTCACTCCTGACCCCTCTGGTCCCCAATATGTAGGGAGATGGTTTCCAACAGGAATTCTCTGACACCAGCTGTTGTCCCACAGCAGCACTCAGTCCTCACACTCTCTGCCCAGAGACGGTGTCAGACCCACAGTTAAAGGGCCATCCCACTGACTGCCCACCGGTCAGGTGCCTTTCACACTATGGAGGTCCCAGGTTTCTTGCTCGTTTTGTTGTAAATTAACGGTTCCCGTGGTCCCTCCCTTGATTCCATTCATTTGCTGGAGTCCTTTGCTAACTGCACCTGAGCCCGGCTCCCCCTTTTCGCCATGTGGGCAGGCTGCCTGGGGAGCCCCGCCCTGCAGAGCCAGGCAACTGGATGGGCGATGCTGAGTGAGGACTCAGCCCCGGATGGATGACCTCCGGGACCAGAGCTCACCTGCAACCTCGCGGGGCACCTGAATCTCCAGTCGTGTGGTCAGTGAGAGGGGGTTTCTCTAAGGAGAAAAGGGGGGGCCTGATCCCAGGAAATCCCTTCTGGGGCCACAGGATGGTGGCGGATGGTCCCCAGTTGCTGGGGAAATGCTGAGCCTGCTCTTAGAGGAAGTGGGCCAAGTGCAGCGGTTCTCAACCTCCCTAACGCTGCGACCCTTTCATACAGTTGCGCATGTTGTGGTGATTCCCACCCATAACATTATTTTCGTGGCTACCTCGTAACTGTAATATTACTCCTGTTATAAATCATCATGTAAATATCTGATATGCAGGGTGTATTTTCATTGTTACAAATTGAACATAGTTAAAGCATAGTGATTAATCACAAAAACAATATGTAATGATATATGTGTTTTCCGGTGGTCTTAGGCAACCCCTGTGAAAGGGTCGTTCGACCCCCAAAGGGGTCGCGAACCACAGGTTGAGAACCGCTGGCCAAGTGGGTCCCGGGATGAGATGCCAGGCCGTACCCGCTGGCTTTCTGCATAAGAACCGCATGCCTCTGCAGTCGCAGGCACCGCACATACACAACAAACCCCCAGGAAGAGAGGCTCTTTCCGGACCCATAGACCAGGAGCCCCTGCTGTCAAGGTGACTGGACCCCATAACTCACACCGCCTCCCTGCCACCATCATGGCCTAAGGAAGGGGATTGTCAGCTGGCTTAGGTAACAGGGCCTGCCCAGTGGGAACTGGGCTTAGTCACAATGTCACCCATGGCTGGGAGATGTGGGGTCCAAGTAGGACCAGAAAAGGATGGACATGTGACCCACTATCTCTCATGTTCCTCACTCTGCCCTCCACTCTCCTTGTACGTTCAGGTTGGGAGACACGCTGTGGGCACTGGGGTCTCGGCAGGAAGACACAGGCCAGGCTGTTCCTGTGTCATAAATGGCAGTGCACCTGGAAGAGGGGCGGGGCCTGGGCACATTTGCATGAGAAGCCCCTCCTCTGACAGAAGGGCGGGGTCTGGGGCACATTTGCATGAGAAGCACCTCCTCTGACAGAGGGGTGGGGTTTGGGGCATATTTGCATGAGAAGCCCCTCCTCTGACAGAGGGGCGAGGCCTGGAGAATATTTGCATGAGAAGCACCTCCTCTGGGAGACCAGCTGGGAGGGGATAAGAGAGGTCTGGGAAGACCAGCCCCAGCTCTGTGTCCTGGGAACGGGCTGCCCTCACCATGGCCTGGACCCCTATGCTCCTCCTGCTCCTCACTCACTGCAGAGGTAGGGACAGGCCTCCGGGACCCAGAGCACCTGCCCCCTGACCCTTCTTCTCACTCCCAAGTCTCTCTTTCCACAGGGTCCCTCTCCCAGCCTGTGCTGACTCAGCCGCCCTCCCTCTCTGCATCTCTGGGAGCCACGGCCAGACTCCCCTGCACCTTGAAAAGTGACGTCAGTGCTGTTAATAAGACCATATTCTGGTTCCAGCAGGAGCCAGGGAGCTCTCCCCGGTACCTCCTGTCTTACGCCTCAAGTCCAAGTTTGGGCTCCGGGGTCCCCAGCCGCTTCTCTGGGTCCAAGGACGCCTCGGCCAATGTGGGGCTCCTGCTCGTCTCGGGGCTGCAGCCCGAGGACGAGGCCGACTTTTCTGGGTCCAAGGACGCCTCGGCCAATGCGGGGCTCCTGCTCGTCTTGGGGCTGCAGCCCGAGGACGAGGCCGACTATTACGTGTGAGTTGCAGGAAGAAGGGGGCTGTGGGCCCGCCGCGTGCCCTGTGCTTCCGGAACCCGAGGACCCCACCGCTGTGGCACGTGTGCCCGTGGGATGGAAGTGGACAGAGTTCTCTCCCTCCACGAGGCAGAAGCCAGGGAGCCCTCCCCGGTACCTGCGGTCCTACTACTCAGACTCCATGAAGCACCAGGGGTGCCCGATGGACTCTAACTGGCTCCGGGGTTATGCAGGCGCCGTGTCCCAGGTCCAGAGGTGGGATGAGGCATGCAGCATCTCCAGGCTTCTGGAGGTGGTTCCTGCAGCCCTCTCCTCCCCACAACCATAGACAGGGAGCATCGGGGAATCTCCCACATTGGCCAACATGGCTCCAGGGGGAGTTCTTACACTGAGCATGCCAAGAGTTAGAAACATGAATGGACAGCCCCCAGTGCACTGGAAGCAAGCAAGATAATTGGATAGCAAAAAACCCCACAACTTCCCCTCCTTATCCCTATACTAGAGGCCCAGTGCACCAACCCAGGTCTCTCGGCCTGGCCTGTGGGGATCGGGCCGAAACTGGCTCTCCGACATCCCCCGGGGGGTCCCAGATTGTGAGGGGGCAGTTCTCGGGTGACGCACCCGGGAATCGGGCTCCCTCCTCTCTGGTTCCGGCTGCATAACCAGAGAACCGCAGTTGCCAAGTCACTGTGTGTGTCCTGCATTGAGCGTCTGCCCCCTGGTGGTCTGTGCGTGTCACAGCTACCAGTAGGCCGATCGCTTGGGCTTTTGTATATATAGATGACCGGCAGGCTTGAGCAGGAAGTGGAGGTGATTTTTGAGACAGGAGCCTGCCATCCTCCCAGGTTGCACATCACCTGAATAAGCCACTTTCCTTTTGCACCATCACCTGTCTCCTGAGTTTGGCTTTTGTTGTGACCAGAAGAGAACCTGCTTGTTTTGTTATAGTGTGATTTGTAACAACATAAAATCTGGGGGGAAGTTTTATATAATGAAAAGTGTAAAACATGACAAGGAAATTAAACTAATTTTGTTTGTTAACTCTCACCCAAGAATATTTTTTCCATTGGTTTCCAGAGAGAGTGTAATTGTAATGGTGGGAGGGAGGGGGAGAGAGAAAGAGGGAGAGAGAGAGAAAAAAGGAGAGAGAGAAAAAAACATCCATTGGTTACGTTCCAAATGCACCCCAACCAGGCCAGGGATTGAGCCTACAACACTGGTACATGCCCTTGACCGGGAATCAAACCTGCGACCCTTGAGTGCTTGGGCTAATGCTCTAACCATTGAGAAACACTGGCCGGGGCAAGAACATTAAACTTAAGTAGACATCCCACTTTGTGGTTCAAAATACTCAGTGTAGTTACGATCACAGTTTTCCCCAAACTGAATAAATAGTAACTGCAAGGTCTTCAGGTAAAACACACTTTCAATGAAGAATGAGGTAGAACATTTCAGGGGAGATGTGGAAGCTGTAAGAAAAGCTATAAATGAAACAATGGTCCTGGGAGTAACCCCCTGGCTCCATGTGACCTGCCGGCACCTGGGGAAGGGGCCACGGGGGGGTAGCAGATGCGAACTTACAGGAACCACATCGAGGTAAGACAAGGGCTGCAGCTTTAGTGCCAGGAGAGACACAGACCAGGTGGGGAGACGCTGCCCTGAGAGCCGAGGGACAGTGTGTGGTGCAGGAGACCCAAGACGGGTGACCCTGGGTCCGGAGCCTGCAGTGTGCACCTGCGGTGACATATGTGTGATTTTGCCTCACTCCCATGTAGGACTCTGTGACCTGCATCTTGCTGAGTAAGGATTGTGACCCAGTGACTCAGATATGGTCTCGGGTTCCTGCCTGCATTCCCAAGGCTGGTCAAGGGAACCTGCGTCTGTGAATCCAGGATAGAAAGTCGAAGGCCTTTCTCGGAAAACCACTATGCACTTCCAGATCTGCCCGGACTTTTCCTGGGTAGAGTGGGGGTCTCCCCGGGGACAGACGGGGTGCAGGGGGCCTGGCCTATGGGGCCTTGAGAAGGGGCAGGGATGCATGGCGGGTATGTGGCATTTCTGCTCCTTCGCTTCCTGTGACTGTGACCCCTCAGGGACTTTATAGGACACAGAGCACAGGCTTCCCTTTGCGTACCCTTATCAGAGACTGTTCCGCAGGACGGGCTGGTGCAAAGGCCAGTGGGAAAGGCTGTGTATGAGTTAGGGTTCTCCCGGGGACAGAACCAGAGGGCCGCTGGGGGGCTGAGGGAAGGCGTTCTGTCCTGCGGACGCTGGACGCCAGGGCCAGCGACCGTGGCTGTGCCGCCCAGAGACAGGCCTGGCGCCAACACCGCTGTGTCCTGGGAGCTCTGCCTGCGGCAGGCGCTGCTGTTCCTGGGACGGATGGAAGCTCCTAGAAACTCCTCGTGGGGGTCACTGGGCAGCGACTGGGGGTTTCCAACCGGCAGGACCAGACCACAGTGCACAGCTCCCAACTCACCACTGAAATGAAAAGTGATGTTAGAAAACGTCTACTCACACCTTTCAACCCAGCGCAGAA